CGTCCTCGAGCTCCTCCTGGGCTCCGTGCGCCCCCGCTGCTGCGGAGGCTGCTGCTTCGGGTTCTGTCTCCGCCTCCTTTTCCCCGCCGTTTTCCCCGCCTGGCTTCCCACTTCCGATCTTTCTTCCTGCCCTCGGCGCCTTTGCCAGACTTCCTGTTCTTGGCTTCTATGAAAACGGACAGTGCGTGGCAGTGTTCCGCGAGGCGGTTCGCCGACTGGGCCTTGAAGATCACCCTGTGTAAGTGCGGCCAGAAGTATGTCCCCTGCTCCTTGCGATCCGCGTCCGTCAGCCTGACCCAGGTCGGACGCGCCGCCCAATCCAACTGGCGGTGCTGCAGCCTGTTCAGGAGCCCCCGCTGCTGCGGAGGCTGCAGCGCCAGTTTCCCCCAGGACGGCAGTTCCGGCTGCTCGCTCGCAGGGCACTCGCGAACCTGAGCGGGGCCCAGAATCACGATGTAGCGCGGGTGCGTCACGTGACTCCGTGCTTCCCCACGCCAGAAAGCCAGCCCGAGAGCGCCTGTCCCAGCCGCGCCGCAACCTCTGAGCAGCTCCGACAGATCGCCCGCGTCTCCGTCAAAGATCCCCGCGAGAACACGTACTCGGTGCTGCAACACCAGGCTCCGAACCCCGTTGCAGAAGCCTTCGGGCCAGGCGCCTCCAACGCAGCTCGTCTGGCAACGAAAGAACACGCCCCCCACTGCTATGGAGAGCTTGCCTCCCTTTGCTTTGGGATTGTAGGCCCTGCCAGGGCAACCGACCAGGCCTGGCACAAGAACTTCCCGTGGGAGTGCACGCCAAGCTCCTCGCACTTCTCGACGCGTTCGGGGGTCCAGAGGAGAGCCCCGACGCACTCGTCCGCGACCGCGCCGTAGAAGCCACTCTGGCGGATCAGCGCGTCGAGACGTCGCTTCCGCTGGTCGCGTTTGATGTCCGCACCAGGCTCGAACGAGACTAAGAGGACCCCTTCGCGCCTTTCCCTGGCAGCTGCGACCCAATCCGGCAGGGCAGCGTCCGCGCGCAGGACGAGAGAAGCAAAAGCCAAGTTCACGCGCGCCTCTGTCTGCCCCTTCCTCACCTGGTCTGCCTCGTCGTACAGCAGCGGCGCAAGAGGCTTGGAACGGCTCGGGCCGCGCTTTTCCTCTGGGAAGTGCGGGCGGCCTTCCCCGCTGACAAGAGGCGGGGCCTCTTCGTCGGCGTTCGCGCCTTGGTGGACAGGAAGCGCTGGCGATCGCGCCTCGGTGGTCAGGCCGATAGGCTGCGTCTCGCGGGCCCCCGCTGCTGCGGGGGAGCTGTCGCGCCCGTGCGCTCGCAAGTCCCACAGTTTGTCTGATGCGGTAAGACCCTGCCGCTTTTGCCAATTATTCGTGCAGGAAGATCTCGGTCTCGGGTCCTCGGAGCGGGCGGCGTTCTGTCCAGGCTGGATTACCGCTGCGGCAGCGGCTGGCTCCACGCGCGCCCCCGCTGCTGCGGAGGCCGCCTGCGGGGCCCGCGCTGGCGCCGACGCCTTGCTCTGCGTCGTGTTGAGCGCCGCCGTTTTGAGTGCAGGGGCGTTGGCGGCGGCCGTCGACTTCCGCGCCTGCGCGATGTCGCCCTTGTCCATCATTTTCTGAGCAACCGCCAGGCTCCGCGAAACGGTTTCCTGGGCAGCGCTCATCGACGAGAGGGGCGCCCCAACGTCCGTTGCAGCCCCAACCCCCGCTGCTGCGGGGGCTGGTGCTGAACCTGCCAGCCCCTGTGGAACTGCCTCAGGGGCCTCCTCTGGCAGCCCCCGCTGCTGCGGAGGCTTCAGCAGAGGCCCCTGCGCGGTTCCAGTCGCGCCTTGCTGCTCCATGCCCCGGGCCGCTCCCGTCGCGGAGGCGGGCGGGCGCGGAGGGAGGCAGGCCTGCAACGGCTGCGGATTCACTTTATCGCATTGCCATCCCTCCCTGCGCTCAAATGGCTTTTCCCCTTGCGCCAGTCTGCTGCTCCCACTTCTGAACTACCTCGTCCCTTCTACCCCCCCCTCCACCCTCCTCTTCCTGTTCAATCCTCCCTCCTCCCTCCACCGTGCCCATTTCTCCTTACTACCTTCTCTGCTCCTCCTACGTGGGGCGTTTCACGACAACGACGACGACGACGACGAGGACGATGACCACGACGGCGACAACGAGGACGACGACGACCACGACGACGACGACGAGGACGATGACCACGACGGCGACCAGCGACGACGACTAGCGACGACGACGACCGACGACGACGACGCCGACCACGACGACGACGGCGACGACGACAACGAGCGACGACGACGACGACGACAATCGACGACGACGAGGAACGACGACGACGAACGAGGACGACGATTACGACGACGAGATGACGAAGGTTCGAAGATCGAACCTCGAAGTGCGAAGCTTCGAAGTTCAAACTTCGGACTTCGAACTCCGAACTTCAAACTTCGAACTGCGAACTTCGATGGGGTGCCAGGGATGCAATGGGATGGAGGGAAAAATGGGAAGGAGAGAGCGAGGAAGCGGGAGAGGAAGTTGGAGGAGAACGAACAGGCGTGGAGCGACGAGGAACGGGCGGCGAGGAGCCGACGTTGAGGGCGGCGGGATGGGGGGACAGGGAGGAGAGGGGCGACTTCAGAACGAAGATCGCGCAACGGCGCCTGCACGCGCGCCCCCGATCTCGCAGGCCGACGCGCGCGCCCCTGCCGAAATGCAACGCACCCTTCATTCGAGCCCCGCTGCTGCGGAGCCACCTAATCCACAACCGAATCGTCTGGGGAGCTGTTCGGTCCCCAAACTACTGGTTTGCCAGCCGCTGCTGCGGACGCCGAGGGCCCGGTGCTGGACGCCGCGGCCCCGCTGATGCGGGGCCCCTGAGAAGGCGTCGGCCTCCCCTTCTCTCTGGCGGCGTCGAACTTGACCTTGCGCTCCACACCGAGGTCCTTGTACCAGCGATGTGTTCCTGACCCGTCGCTCCCGCCCAAACCCGCGGCTGGTGGCCTCACCGTGTCCGCGCGGGGCACGAGGGGCAGAGCTTCGACCTTCCTGTCGCCCCAGTGCGGGTGTAAGCGGACGCCTGTCCCGTCGTCGCGGTGCAGCGCGAAATCCCACATCGGCAGCTTCACTTTCACCCGCTGCCCCGCGAACTGTCGCGCGCGCACAATACTCTGGCGCATGTGGTCGTAGCTGTTCGGCCGGACTTCGAGGGGACAGCCGATCAGAGCCCCGCTGCTGCGGGGCCCCCCCACGACCTCCCTGATATCTTCCTCCCTGAGCGTCGCCACCATCTCTTGCCACCGCCAAGGGACTTCCTCGTCGCTTCTGAAACCGAAGCTCGTTCTCGCACCGTGGTCGCAAACAGCGACCATGGTGGGCTCCGCATTGTCAAACCACTTGGCTTCTGACTCGAACGGGGCAGTTGGGTCTTCTTTCACGTGGCGCCACCATTTCAACGCTTGGTTGTGTTGCTTAAACGAAGTGCCGAGCCTCTCTTCATAACTCAAAAAATAATTGACATCAAACTTCTCAAAATCCTGGGGCCCGCGCGCCGCCGCCGCTGCGGTGGCGCGGGGCTCCTGCGCCGCAGGCGCGGCTCGGGATCCCAACCCCTCTCCTGAAACTGCGCCCCCAGGTTCTGGTGAGTGTCGGAGGGCAGCCCTCACGAAATGATCGAATTCGGGCATGCCGAGACCAGGGGCGCGGGAGCTCACGACGCCAAGCGCGGCGAAGCGAGACGGCCGTTGAGGCGCGACCGCCGCCGCTGCTGCGGCGGCAGGGCCATCGCGCCATTTGGCGTCCTCCGTTGGCGCGCTCCCGTCTTGTCGCCACTCTCTCCAAACCCACGCTGACCAATCATGGCCGTCCTCCCAGCCACGCCAGCCGCTGCTGCGGCTATCCCACCATCCTTCCGCGCCACCCCATGTGTATCCGCCTGCATCGCCCATTGCAAGACGATGGCGCAGGCGCGCGTTAGGCCGCGACCGGCCCGGCTGCACCGTTGCTCGCGGGCGATCCCACGGGCGCGGGATGGTTTGAGCATAGCGGCGAGGGACGACGCGATGTGATTGGACGGCAGAGAGGTTGAAAGGAAGGGGGGTTGGAAACGGAAGAACGAAGTGGACGAAGAGCGGAAGTCGAACCAGAGGGGGGAGAAAAGGGCGGAAGAGAATGAGGACATGCAGACGAAGGAGAGTGACGAGGTAGATGGCGTGGCAGAACGGCAACGGAGGATAATGTGGTGGAAATTGTGAAAAGGACGCATGGAAAAACACGACGAGGATCACAAACGCAAAGATGATGAGCGCAGTGGTACCATGACATATCCGAAATCAAGAAGCAGGATGAGGAGGAACGGGATGACGAGCAACTCTGTCACAGAGGGCCTCCAAACGCACCCCTCTGTCACAGAAGGCCTCCAGACGCACCCCCTCTGTCACAGAGGGGCAACATGATCACATTAATGCGGCTTTTGGATTATACACATCTATTCACATCACTATATCTACAGATTTGTACACACACACACGCGTTCCATAGATGTATATATATATATATATATATATATAATATATTATATATATATATAGACACAGAAACACTACGAAAGACCGCCTCACAGGAACTTGCCGTCGAACCTTCTCGTCCTGGTTGGTGCCAGAACTGCAACGCTGAAGTCTTAGCTTATCACCCAGAGTGGGAGAACGTAATGAGGGAGGGGAGTGGGCAGGGAGGGGAGCGCGCAGGGTGGGGAGTGGAAGGAGCAGGGAGGGGATGGGGGCAGGGAAGGGGCGAGGAGGCGAGGTGGGGCCTGCAGGGGCGCAGAGGGAGCGGGGCAGCGAGGGAAGGGGGGGACGGAGGGAAGGGGGGGGGAGAACCGAGGGGCGGGGGGAGGGGCGGGAGGGGTTGGGAGAGGGGAGCACGGAGCGGCAGGGGAGGGGGGGAAAAAACGAGGCACGGGACGGGGCGGCGAGAGCGAGAGCGCGACGAGCCCCCCTGCGGCAAGGGCCCCGCCTGGAGCCGTGCGCGGGGCGCCGGGAGGGCGCTCCGGCCACGGCGGCCCGCCGCTCCAGGGAGGGCCGCTGCCCAGCGAGCCTGCGCCCCCCTCGAGGGGCCCAGGGAGACTCAGACAAGTCGGCATGGATTCCAGGACTCCCCACAATCAACACTTCTACTTCTTGAATTTCCCTTTGGCCTTGCTCTCCCCCTACCATCCAACATCATCATGACAACCAGCGTTGATCTGTGTCTGTGAGTGTTGTCCTACCTGATCCCTGATCCCTCATGCCCGGCGCACTACTGGTCCCCCATCGGCGCTTGCACTGAAAGGGGCCCCGGCGCCTGGTGCCAGGCCGATTTCGGCAGGCGGCAAGTTTCCCGGGCTCCCAGTTCCAGGCTCTGGCGAGGCCGCTGGGTCGATTCCGATGGGCTGCTAGGCTCCCCGGTGCCAAGTTCCGGGCCGATTTCCCGGCGGCCAGGTTCTGGGGTTCCCGTTTCGCGCCGGGGGTTCCTACGCGCTGCAAGGTTCCTCTGAATAACGGGATCCTTGCGACCACGGTGCGAATGAGAGAATAGACGGTAGAGAGTAGAGAACACAGATCAAACAGCTGCGGGCTGAATTGAGAATCGGTCACAAAGTAGCGATGGCAGAATACAGGGGAGAACGAGCTGAGGGTATACATAATAAGCCAACAAGTAACACGAAACACGAGAGACAGAGACAAGTATAGGCGACACATTTGTGTATACATACACATCCATGTTTACATGACGTATACTTACATACATACATACAAACATACATACATACATACACATATACATATACATATACACATACATATATATATATATATATATATAAAAATGCGCATGACCGTTCATACACCGTCACATGTATACATGTATACATATATGATTATACGCGGATGCCTACACATATACATACATACACACAGAGAGCGATAGAGAGAGAGCGAGCGAGAGCGAGAACGAGCGAGAGAGTACTTGCGTTTGCGACCACGGCCAGAAAATTGAAGTATATCGTTTAGAGCAGAAGGTGCATCTCATAATGTAGAAGCACAGAAAGGGAGAGAAAACGCCTGTTATAGACAAGTGAAACACTATACCTCTGAACAACGCACAGAGCGAGCTTTTCTTTCCACATGCTGGTCCATGTTTAAGCAGCAGAGACCTGCGGATCATGCCCCTGGCCCAAACTGAGTTGCGAAGTTGACCGGGCAGGCCGGCAGCGGCGAGACGCTGTCCAGCGAACGTGGCCGAAACTCGGGCCGCCGACTCGGGGCAGAGGGGGGGAATGAGGCGACGGAAGGAAAGCAAGAGACAACCAAGCGGCGACGGATACGAACTTGCCCACCAAACGTATCGGGCCGTGGTTGTTCATTGTGCTATAACCCCTGCCGCAGGGCCCAAACATCCGAGGCAATGAACCCAACACAACCATAGAAGAAGGTGGGAAGAGGAGGAGGGGCAGAACGCGAAGTGAGGAGGAAAGGACAGGGGGCCGGGAAGGAACACGGAATGGGCGCTAGGTCACAGCCAAGGGCTCCACTGGCGGGCCAAGCACCCTAGATCAGTACAAGCAGTTACGCGAGCAGCCTCACGCGAGAGCAAGGAAAATTGACTAATGCGCGAGTGTCTGTCATACCCGCGGCGCGTCGAAACCATGAGAAATGTCCGTCCCCGCGGAAAGGAAGGGGCCGAGGCAACCCAGTGGGTGGGCGGGCGCCCCAGGCTGGGCGCAGAACCTGCCTGCAATATCAATTACACACGACCGGCCCGCGCCGGAGGAGGAGGAGGAAGAACAATCTGCATAGCCGGACTCGTGGTTGACCGGGAGGCCGTCAGAAGACAAAGCAAACAGAGTAGAGATAAAGGGAGTTGTACATATATATATTTATGTATATATATAGGTGTAACTTTACACATAAATAGATGTATAGATGCCGAGAGATGGGAAGAAGGAGAGAGAGAGAGAAAGAAAGAAACAAAAAACATAAACAGAGAGAGAGAGGGAGGCAGAGTAGAGAGAGAGCGAGAGAGCACGCATGCACGCACGCACGTGAGCACGCACGCAAGCACGCACGCACGCCCGAACACACACACACACAAACACACACAAACACACACAAACACACACACACACACGCACGCACGCACACACGCACACACACACACACACACGCACACGCACGCACGAACGCACGCACGCACGCACGCACGCACGCACGCTCGCACACACACACACACACACGCGCAAACACACACACACACACACGCACACGCACACGCACACGCACACGCACACGCACACGCACACACGCACACGCACACACACGCACACACATGCGCACACACATGCACACATGCACACGCACACACAGGCACATAGAGATATACACCTTGTATACAGCAATGTGTAGACAGGTATGCACATATAATTACATCGGCCGATCACACTCATATGCAGAAAGGAAGCGGGATAAAAGGGGGAGAGAGAGAGAGAGATAGAGAGACACAGAGGAATATAGTTATATCTATATATATGTTATAACGTAAATGGCCCAGCATAGAGCGTAACATAGAAAAAGGCGGAAAGAAAGTTGATAGTAGAAAATATCTAATGGCTTGAGGCCCTTCCGGCCACCGTGCCTGGATGCGGTCTCCGGGGCAAGCTTGGGGACCCACGTGCTGCAGAAATGTACTGATTGGGTACTTCCGTTGGTGTAACCTTTGTTCTGGGTCGAGGCGGTGCAGAAGGGTGCGACGCACGCCGCTCTGGGCGGCTCTCGGGCCGAAATGCTCAGAGTTGGGGCGCACGCGTGCGTTGATGCTATCCCCACCATGCACACGAGCCACCATGCCTGCTGCACCGCCTGATCCAGAGGTCTCCTCCCATCCTCCTCGCTCTCCTCTGTTCCTCCCCCACCCCCCTACGAGTCAACCACTGCACATCGGATACCGTGCGTGCACGGTGTGTGCGTGTTGAAATACCAGGTGCTGTCTGAACAGGTGGCACGGCGGCGGGATTTGACACAATCCCCTCATACCATTTAGGGATAAAGGTCGGATGTGACCTCCGACTCGGCGAACAGAAGGGGGTTGCAGGCAGTGGGGAGATATGGGACGGGGGCAAGATGTCAGATGTTCGAGCATGGTGTCGACTACAGACTTGATTTACCACATAATTAATTTGTTCGTCGAATCAACGAGCAGATGCATTCGATGTCCGTTGACCGACGGAAATGCCACTTACTTGTCGTAGATTCGACGGTCATGCCAAATTTGGAGTACGTCAATTCGGTAGTCGATCCCCTACTTGAGATGTGGCGCGCGCGATCGCACCCAGCTCGTCCCTCTCCCCATCTCCCGTCTCCCCCTCCCGCCCCTTCAACCCCACCCCCTCCCTCCCTCCGAACCGATCCCTCACCACCATAGTGAGCAGAACATCCAGCCTCATCACAAACACCTCGGCAAGCGAAGCCGTTTAGTAAAAGCGCGCGCCCAAGGAAGGGATCGAACAGGGCAGGGCTATTTAGTAAACGCCCAGGGCTGGTCGGGTAAACGCCAATCGTCGGGGTCGGGGCGATTTTCCTCCCTTGGCTACAACCCATCACATCTCCTCCCAATCTCCCGGTGTGCGAGATGGTGCCCGGCAACCTGCCACAAGGGCCGCACACCTGCGAGGCACCACCCCAGAAGCGCAGAAGCACGACGGATTCTAGCCGCAAGGCTCGCGCACGCCGGGCGGGGACCACCGAGACGAACCCATCATAGCACTGCCGTAACGGGCCTGTGGGACCGCAGCTCGATCCGCGCGAACGCCGATCGGCACGCCTGCGCTCTGGTCCTGACGCCCCCGCCGAGCCCTGCAGGGCTGCTGGGGCGGGCACGCGCCCCCCCAGGCTGCTAGAGGAGGCTTGTGGGCCAAGGGAGCAGCTCCTCCTCCCCTCCCTCCTCCTCCTCCTGCTCCTCCTCGGTAGGTCACACGTCACGGATGCAATTCGTAATGTTGTACTTCTGCTCGACTCGGTGCGTCTCCGCTCCGCCGCTCCGCCGCTCCTTCTCGTTCTCCCCCAGCACGCCCAAGAGGCCTCTGGAGGTCCCCAGAGGTACCCAAAGACCGCTGGAGACTTCAGAAAGCTTCTCGAGGCCCTGAAAGACCCCCAACGACATGCAGAAATGTAACACCTCGAACCTTCCCTGCCCTCCTCCCTCCTCTACCGATCACCACCCCTGACGCCTTAATTATCTTCGGGTGCAGCCTGGGTCTCTGAAGAAGTCTTGTGACCGCTGGGGCCCATGCGGAGAGGACGGCTCCAGGCAAGGCACGACCGACTCGAGGCCAACCCTCAACGCTCAAAAGCACTCGAACCAGCGTGACAAACATTCAGGCCACCTCCGAGCACCGTCGCCAGTCCTCCAGCGGACTTCAGAGGGCCCTCAGACCCCCTCTGTGTGTTGCCGGAACTCAGACGAAGCTCTCCACATCCTGCAACCTCTGGGGGGCCGTCGTCGGGCCCTTGGCCCGATCGATCTGGGACGAACAAGCCATGCCAGGAAGGGGACCGAGAGGGGGACCCCCCTCCTCCCTCCCTCCTCCCCCTCCTCCCTCCTCCCTTCCTCTGCCTTCTCCCCCTCTCTTCGCTTCTCCCTCCCCTCTCCTCCCCTCCTCCCCCTTCTGCCTCCCTCCCTCCTCCCCCTCACTCCCTCTTGCCCCCCTCTCCTGCCTACGCTGCCGACGGGATGGAAGCTCGACGGTGGCTCCGCCCTCTCGAATAATCCAGCGGTCTGTGGGACGGGAGCCTCCCTTCCACGATGACATCATACAGTCGGGGCGTTGACCTAAGGAACCCTAATTAAGAAACGAGGCCTCTTCTTCCATACGTGAAACTTCGATCTCCCATCAAAAAACCAAACGAACATCGAAGGTAAACGGTTAAACAACTCAGGAGCACGGAGCCCCTCCCCACTAAAAAGGTTTCCTTCTTCAGCGCCGCGACTCATCCCTCCCCTCTCCCCTGGGAGCGCTTGTACTTGTAATTGCTCCCGTTTGTCCTTTGCATATTGAATCTTGGGTGCTCTCATCCACAATATTGCCCACATCGTGGTTTCCGATGTAGGACCAGAGCTGCCCCACAGGATCATGACATTCTCGGCCCCTCAGGGGCTGTGTTCTGGCCGCAGCGTTGCCCCCACTCAAGGGGTCCCATCGATCTTCCAACCAAGGAAGTGTCTCTCTGAGCCGGCTTTTCAAACTTCAAAAATTCCCCATGAGTTCCCGCCCAACCAATGGAACGACGCTCTCGTCACAACGCTTGCCGCGCTCCCGCATCAACAAACGTGCAAGTCCCGTTGCGCCATCTGCCTCGTGCAAGAATTTCCTTAGAGCCTTCGTCCCTCGGAACGACTTTCTCGCCGCCGCGCTGGCCGTATGATACTGTATCAGCAAACGCGGTGCTCCCGCTTGGGCGGTCGCCACGTTTCGGGATTTCCATCGCGCTTCCGCCCAACGAAGGGCACTCCCGTCGCGGAGCTGGCTGCAACCCTGTATGAGCAAGAATGGTGCTTCTACGGGATCCCGGTTTTCGTCGACACTCGACTACATTCGACTTTGCGAGTAGACGGCCTGACTCCATGGCAGGTTTGGGAGGGAGGAGTAACATTTTCAGATATGGCGCCAGAACCCAAATATTGCTCTACCCGTTTTTTTCCTTCTACCCTCCCCCGCTTCTTTCCTTCCTCCCCTCCTCTCTTCTCCTCCCTCCCCTGGCCCCCCCTTTCTTCCTTATGTCTCTTCCTCCCCTCTCCCCCAAACCGCCCTTCACGAATCTCCCTCGCAAAAGCTTGCGCCCTTCTCCCTCCCAATCTCCGTGCCCCCTCTCTCCCTCTGCTACTGCCTCCCACGCTGTCGGCCATCTCCCGCTCTCCCGATTGCAGGAGGTCAGGCGCGTGGGTTCGGGGGCGAATTCCCCCCCTGCGAAACTCATCAATTCATCCTCCCCCCTCTTTCTCTCTCTCTCTCTCTCCGCTCTCTCCTTCCTCTCTCTCTCCTCTCTCTGTCTCTCTCTTCCGTGTTGTGCGGCGATCGTCTTCC